ATGTATGTATATGCATGTATGCATGCATGCATGCATGCATGTAGGTACTTAGTTTTTCCACAATGGCTCCCATGACGAACTCAACTCCGAAACAATACCTACGGTCGCGCGGTCGGACTGCTTTGGCTGCAGCATGCGTCCATCTCTCAGAGATGACAATAGGGCCCCAAAAAAGCACATAAGCAAAAATTAGGATAGTGATATCCCATATAAACCCCTTATAATGAAGCCCAATAAGGTAGGGACATCTCTATAAACTGCTTATGCTTATGTCCTTTTTTGGGTTCCTAACACAAGGCTGTGTGGTTTGCATCTGACAAACCGCCAGACGTCAGGAGGATGGCGAGGCATCAGCAATGTAGAGGCCTTAATAATTCGACTAGGGGATTTAGGGTTTAGGGTTTAGTCTGTAATGTAGGGGCCTTAATAAGTAGGATAGTGTTTGGGGGAGGTCCCTTATAGTATTATGTCAGGGAGCCCTAACAGTAAGATTGGTAATTATTCAGGCTTCTACATTATCTTGTGGCATCGGGGTATAACTCAACATTATTAAACCCTAAACCCTAAACCCTAAACCCCTAAACCCCTAAACCATTTTGGGGAGTGTTGGCAGTGCGGACGTCTCCTTGCAATGTCTGTCTTGACATGCGAAGCCCGGATGCCATCCAACACCACACAGCCGACTCTTGCACAAATAACTTGAAAACGATAGCTAAAAGCATCATCAGCAGTCAAGTGGCAGGATTCCCCATACACGCAACAAGCAGGCTTTTAACTTTATAAGCATCAAGGAGTGAAGCCCGAAAAACCCCTGGCTCTCTGCTCGAGCTTGACAGCTCTACATGGTTGTTCAGCGCACTTTGGCACTTGCACTAGTTGTATCGTTCAGTAGGCCTGTATGAACTGGGCCGTGTTCACGAGCTTGGCTGCCACCAGTTCAGGCGACATGTTGTCATCCAAACTGTCCCAGAAGTCCTTGAAGGGATCCTCGCTCTTGATAGTGTTGGTGGGCACGACAGGTGCCCTTGTGGCAAATGCAAGGTCTCCCGGGATGCCCATTGCTGTGAAGAGCTGTGCTGCTGCCTCTTCCGGTGGCAGGGTGGAATCGATAAGTGCCCAGAAGTCCTCGCAGTCCCAGCCATCTGTGTCGCATGCGGACTCTTCTGCCGAGGGCACTTCTGCCTGCGGAGTTTCGGTAGAGTTGCTGGCAGGCTCCTCTGCCATCAGACAGGCCAGGGCGGCCGCATCCTCCTGTGACAATCGAGCATCAATCGGCTTCTTCTCCGAAGTCTCATTGAGGGCTAGTTGGACATTCGGTGCCTCTGCTTTCAAGGGCTGTTCTACAGACATCATGGCTGCCATTGCCGCAGCATCCGCTGGTGACATCTGCGTGTCTGCCAGCTTCTTCCGCGAGGTCTCCATGAGCATTGTCATAAAGGCATCCGGTGACTCACCAGCCACGGATTGCTCAGATTGAGGTGCTTCAGTTGTGCTGCTTGGAGGCTGCTCCGCCATCATTGATGCCATCGCTGCAACATCCTCGGGCGACATTTGAGCTTCGACTGGCTTCATCTGGGAAGTTTCACTGAGCATGTGCCCAAAGGCCTCCGGCGCTTCTGCATCCATGGGTTGATCTGGTTGCCGTGCTTCTGTCAAGCCGCTTGTAGGCCCCTCTGCCATCATAGAAGCCAGGGCAGCAGCATCTTCTGGCGACATCTGGGGGTCTGTTGGCTTCTTTTGTGAAGTCGCAGCAAGCATCTTCAGAAACGGATCCGGCGTGTCCTCTTCTTCCACAACTGGCACCACAGTAGAAGCTGCTGGCTTCTCCGAAGGTTCCACCACAGGTGCCTGCTCTTGTACCAATGGAGCCTGAGCAGCAGCCACTGGTTGGTCCACTTGCCCGAAGAGCTCTAACAAAGCTTGTCGGTCTTGCATCTCTTGCTCGGCCGTCTTCTGGGCCGTTCTTTCGTTCAGCTCACGCTGTTGCCGACGCTGGATCACATCTCTCTTGAGGTTCAAACGGTCGGCTTTTGAGACCATGTTGCGAACGTACTTGCGCAGCTTCCAAACAAAGACCTCACTTTCGAAGAATGGAGTGAGGGCTTCCTCACCCTCCTCTTTGAGGCTGTTAATCATGTTTCTCATATCAGGATCCCACTTCACTGCAAACCGCAGGCATTTGCACGGCGGCTGCAACTCAATCCTGAACTTTGGGGCCTGCTCGTCTGCGGCCTCCTCTGCTGCAGTGCTCCTTGCGCGCGAGAGGTTGGCCAGGCGCTCGGCCAGAGCCTTGAAAAAAACATAGCACAAGATCAGCATAAGGAGCAAGAGCTGTACAGCTATGGAGAAAAGAGCCACATCGTGGCACAGCGCAGGCAAAAGTACCACGTCTTTCGTGGTTGCCCGGTCGGTGAAGAAATACAAGTCGATCATTCTCCCAACAGCCTGGTGCTGCAGAGGAGGAAGGACTGTTGCTTGAGCCGGCCCTTTTTGGCATTCGGGATTTCGGCACTGTGGGCTTCGCATATCGAGACTGCAAGCGAACCCTCGACATCTCTCTGATGCGTGAGGGCAGCCCACAGATATCTCCGAAGCCCAAGCTTGCAAGCAAGCTCTGCTGGGGCGCTGGCACCTTCTACTTCTCGCTTCAAGTCCTTCGGACGTCGCTGGGCTATCTATGTTCTTCCACAGCCTAACAGAAAAGGCTATTCGGGTCGCAGGCTTTGGGTTCAGAGTTTTGGTGTTTCAGGTTACGGGGTTCGGATTTCAGAGAACTTCTGTACCAGCACCCCATCAAGCCCTCACCAAAAAATACCGTCGCGCACGTCTACCTAAACTCTAAACCCGAAACCCTAAACCCTAAAACCCCTCAGCTCAGTCACTCTCCGACCAAAAAACCCCAACCCTGACCCTCACGGGTCCTCGCACTCGTCGAGCTCGTCTGTCTTGACGCTGTCAATCGCTCTTTCCAAGTTGTCCGGAACATGGAGCAGACTAAGGGCCTGGGTGTATTCGAACTTTTGGGCTTCGGGGTTTAAGGGTTTAGGGTTTAGGGTTTAGGGTTTAGGGTTTATTCGAACTTTTGGGGCTTCGGGGTTTAAGGGTTTAGGGTTTAGGGTTTAGGGTTTAGGGTTTATTCGAACTTTTGGGTTTCGGGGTTTAAGGGTTTAGGATTCAGGATAAATTTGAGGTTTAAGGTTTAAGGTTTAGGGCTTTAGGGGTTTGGGGGTTTAGGAGCTTAGGGGTTTAAGGATTTAGTTTTTTAAGTGCAATGGCCTTTTCGTGCGAACAAGCCTGCCTCTGGTGATGCCTACACTCCAGTCGGCTCATTCAAGAGCCAAAACAATCCCTCAAGCCTTAAGGATTTAAGGTTCAGGGTTTAGGGCTTAGGGTTTAGGGCTTCGGGCTTAGAGGAGTTTCTCGTGTTGGCTTTATAGGCAGTATTGATGAAGGTTACATGCGCCGATTTTTGTGGAAATGGTGGGGCCTTAGGGTTGCGGGATAGGGTTTAGGGTTTAGGGTTTAGGGTTTAGGGTTTAGGGTTTAGGGTTTAGGGTTTAGGGCTTATCAAACGGTGTGGGTTTGGGGTCTAGGGCTCCTGAAGCCTACCAAACTGGGGCATGAATAGTTCTTGCTGGGGTTTGACGGTCTGTAAGCCGTAAACCCTAACACTTGAACCTAGAACCTAGAGTGTCACGACGGTCTTAGGCCTCTGCTTCAGAGTTGCGGCTTTCAGCTTGAGGGTGTTGGCATCTAGGGTTCCGAATCTCGCGCTGCGCTTCAGAGGTGTAGGGCTTGGCCTTCGTGCATTGGGGCTTAGGCTTTGGGCCTTAGGGTTTAGGGTTTAGGCTCTAATTTCCCCCTGAAAGCCGCTTGTCTTGAGGAAATGAGAACCCAGGAAATGACTCCGTAAAATTTCAGCGCGAGTGGCATCTTTCGAGTAACTTCGAAGCCCCACATGCCATGTAAAGCGTGAATGGGTTTCGGGTGTAGGGAGTAAGGCCGGGGTTCTACCACAGAAATCACTCATCCTTAAACCCGACCGTCCGGCAGCCCCAAACCTAGACCCTACAAAAGTCACCCCAAGGCCCGGCACACTGCTGTCATGAAAGGCTGAGCTGCAAGCAAACTTGGTGTAAGAATATTTGTTCTCGTTGTCCAGGTCATGGCTGTGCCTGGCTCAGCATTTGGGGGTGATGGCTGTGCGATGAAAAGAACGGGAAGGCTGCACAATTACAACAAAGTGTTGTTGTGGAGGTGTATAGTATCCAGCATTTATCGATTGATCTGTCTATCTATCGATCTAACCATCTATGAAACCATCGACCTATCTCTCTCTATGTGTATGTATGTGTATGTATATTTATTTATTTATTTATTTATGTTATATATATATATATTCCTATATATGTACGCATGCACATATATATATATATATACATACACATCTAGTGTATACCTCTACGTCTACATGTACACAAGCATATACATACTTACATGTACAGGTATACATAAGCATATGCATATACAGTCATATACAATATACACATCTGCAGATACATACATATATATATATATATGAATAGACATATGCATATATATATATATATATATACAGTTCCAGATAGATGTGCATATATATATATATATGTATACATTATCTATACAAACACGATAATGCGACTACAGGAAGAGTGTAAGGAGTAGTTTTGTCCTTCGCTGCCACATCCCGTAACTTAACCTTTGCCAGGCAGGCTAGGGTTTGCGGGTTAGGGTTTAGAGTTGAGGGTTTAGGGCCTAGGGTTTAGGGTTTAGGGTTTAGTCCGAGAAGTGTCATGGTACACCAATTCCGCAGGCGGCTCCACCGAGAAAGAGGTACTGGGTACAGAATGCTACAGACTCCCGGGGTCAACACCCAAAACTACCACCAATCACGGCCCACAACCTTGCATCCAAACCTAAACCTTAAACCCTAAACGCATCCTCGAACTCTGAAGCCCTGAATGAACCCCCAACCTCGAAGCCAAACCACTAACCCCGACACCCCGAATTCTAAACCCCAAGCCTTATCCCCGGATCCCTGAGCCCCACAGATCCATCAACCCCAAAAGGCCCAATGCCTGGCAAAATTGAAAAACTCGATATAGAACCTTGCAAATCCTCTATAAAGCCTTGCAAAAGCCTTACCAAGGCTTTGTAGAACCTTTGTAGAACTCGGCGAATCCCCACAAAGCCTTGCAAAAGCCTTACCAAGGCTTCGTAGAACCTGAGAGAAACCCTAAACCCTAAACCCTAAACCCTAAACCCTAAACCCTTCACCCTAAACCCTAAACCCTCAACCCTTCACCCTAAACCCTAAACCCTAAACCCCTTTGTAAACCCTAAAGAAACCCTTCAGAGAGCGCTTGCCTGCGGATCGCCTGCTGCAGGTCCTTGGTCAGGCAAGCTCTCAAAGCTTACAGCCGAAACGGTTTAGGGTTTAGGGTTCAGGGTTTAGGGTTTAGGGTTTAGGGTTTAGGGTTTAGGGTTTAGGGTTTAGGAGAGAGCGAGAGAGAGAGAGAGAGAGAGAGAGAAACAACCCAGACCCTAAATCCTAAACCCT